CCCCAAAACCCCAAAACCCCAAAACCCCTTGAATTAGTTAGAAGGAATTGAAATAGATAGTAAATTAAATTAGAGTTTTCTGCAGTTATTTCTGCATCTATTCCTTGCAAACCTAGTTCGATCTTATTCTTCAGACTATTTCTCCAATACTAATCTGACCATTAACCATTGGCTTGAATTGCTCTCTCTTTGGGGGATCTATTAAATAGGTTTAAGCTATCGATATTCTTACAAAGTATCTCCTTTGGCATTCCAAGGGATGAGTTAATTTATTCCTGAAGTTTTTCAGCAAAGTACAAAGTAGGGTACTTCTGTCTCTCCTCCTCGCTCCACTTTTCTTCGTTCTATTAGATTTACTTTTTTGATTCCTCAATGAATTTTTCGAGTTGCTCTGCAAATTATTGCTATTCAATTTGGCCGAAGTCCCTCAATAAGATTTATGTAGACTCTTCAATAGTCACTTAATTCTCCTAGCTGTATAAGATTAGAGAATCCTACATTTGCTGTAGATACATCTAGTTTGACTTGGAATTATCTTCATTAAAGTATTTAGAGTCATGAACTTGAGTGAGGAAAGCTCTTCTGACAAACCTGACATAAGATAAAAATGAATCTATATCCTTAACATCAGATGCTGACTGAGCTCTATATTTGAAAATTAAGTATCATTAGAGTAATAGTTAATGAAATTATAAAGAATGATTATTTGGAACTTTCTTATTGAAATCAAGTTCATTTTAATTGTTTTTACCTATCTGAGATATCATCATTCACTTCAAGTTGCTTCTTTACTCTAAATGAAAATTACTACTTAAATATTGTAACTATACCTTATTTATCTGCCTCTAATGTGTCTGCCATCAACATATTCAATGGCCTTATCAACATCCTTAGCATCCTTTAAGTAAACGAAAGCATATCCTCTTGGTCTTCCACTCCTATTATCATAATATTAATAATACTTAAACATACTTATCTTTTGGAAGAATAACTTCATCTACCTAAGCGAATTCCTTAACAAGGTTTTCAACCTCTTTAGCATGAGCATCATAAGGCACATTCATTAAGTACAGTCTTCTCTTGATTAGACTTGGCACATTCCTTGGACTAATTTGGTCTTTGCTCTCAAAGTATGGCTTAACAATAGTAATTATGTTGTTGACTGCAAAGTTATTGAACTTTTAAACTGCTGCTTTCTAAGCCTAATCCTTGCTAAAGGTAACTATAGCCTTGCCTGTATTCTAGCCCATTGTATTTTTTACCAAATTAACTTAAGTGATTTCCCCAACAACTCCATAATATTGGGCGATTTCTTGTTAAGTCCAATCAGTTGGAAGTCCCTCAGCAAAGATCTTGCTGCTAAATAATCTAGATTAATAGAGACCTCTTTGGAAAGTTTAAGATATGGACTGTCTATTATTGCCCCTCAGTAGTGCAAAAGTATATTATTGCTGCTTGCTTATCAAATGCTTCATTTTTATATTTAATTATAATCACATATTATTAATTCTATATTCACTTTTAAACTCCCATATTCATATCATTCGGGGTTTTGGGGTTTTGGGGTTTTGGGG